CAAAACAACAAAAACAAAAGCAGAGTTTCTCAACCAGGGCCCTTGAAACATTAGGGAAAAGCTGATCCAGATGAATAGTGGGAGTTGAGGGCTTTCTAGATGTTGCTGAACTGAAGCTCCCTACAGTCTGCCTCATTAGCTTATGTTCACACAAGACCGCTGAAGGTTGCAGTTCAACCATATCTGAAAAGTGAAATTGTAACAAGAATGTGTGGCTCTCAACATGCTTTAGACTGGGATTCCCATCATCCCTTGCCACAGTCTCCTGGCAAGGGCTGTTAAGAGTTGGAGTTCACTATCATCCAGAGAGTCCTATTTCTGTTGTGTGCTTTCAAGACATTTCTGACTACGGCAAGCCTATCACAGAGTATTCCAGCCATTTGTCTTTAGGCTGGGAATGTGATCCGGTGAAGGTTGCTCAGTCAGTTTCCATGGCTGAGTAGATTTTCAAACCCTGGTCTCCTAAGTCATACCCCAAGGCCCCATCTACATTGCCATATAATGCAATTTCAGAATACAGTTGCATTGTGGAGACACATATAATCCAGTTCAGTGCAGTTAAACAGCAGTCTGAAATGGCATTGGATGGCAGTAAAGATGGGGCCCAACTCTTACCTACTATACCTTTTTGGCTCCCCATTCTACATTCTCCACTTTTTATCTATTGCCCAAATCAGAGTGGCGGTTGCCTGCCTATCTTTCACTTTCATCTGACAGGCTTCTAGGCAGGAAGTTTTTCCCTCTACTAAATGCTCTCTTGCATCAGCTGTGAAACCAGCACCCTTTCTCTCTTGCCTGTCTTTGTTCCCTCTCTCCAGCTCCCTGTCTTTGTCTATTGTTCAGGGATCAGCTTAGCAGCTCTCCTTTGTCCCATCTTGTTCATTTCTTCCCTGGCTTGACATACCGTCTTCCAAACGTGGCTCGAATTCCACCTCCGGGATCTGCTTCTCCCCGATAGGACTTGAATATTTGACTTTTGATTTCAGCCTTGCCCTGTCTAGCCTTATGTAGCCTTGAGGCCATTTCAGGAACCTGCCCTGGACGGTGTGTTCTGCATGACAAGACCCATTTCCTGACAGCGCAGCCTCTGCAGATTGGCTCAAACTGCGCCGAATGTTCTATGCACGCTTGTGTCTGCCCTGCTAATGGCTTTAGACAGATGTGCCTGGGAGGCCCGATTTCTTGTTCAGGTAATCCATCTCTTGGAGGCTCCTTCTGAAATGAGGCCTTAATAATTCTTCCTTGTTGCGAAAACTGCCGGATCAGAGTCAGGGAGTATTTGGAAAAGGCCTTCCTCTTTTACTCATCATTTTCTTTCTTTTTAAAATTATGGATCAGATGAGTATTCTCTATTCAGCCACTATGGAGTAGAGGGTAGAGTGCTGGACTTGTGGCATCCAGGTTGTAGTCCCAATTGAGCTATGAAACTAATTGGGCAGCTTTGATGCATGCTGCACTATAACTCCCATTCCTCCACATACACCTTGGTGCTTATGGGAGTTGTAGTCAAGCACAACTGAAGTTGAAGTAAGGGATTGCTTTCATGTTATTACATATGCCAACTTTTTTGGATTGGCATTCTCCAGCAATGAGCAACAAGTTATTTTAAACTTTGGAAGGTTGTCATGAACTTCCCATCTATATACAGTAGAGTCTCTCTTATCCAATATAAATGGGCCAGCAGAATGTTGGATAAGCGAAAATGTTGGATAATACGGAAAAGCCTATTAAACGTCAAATTATGTTATGATTTTACAAATTAAGCACCAAAACATCATGTTTTACAACAAATGGACAGAAAAAGCAGTTCAAAACATGGTTTGTTACGTAGTAATTGCTGTATTTACAAATTTAGCACCCAAACATCACAATGTATTGAAGCAGTTGTGGATCTGGGTGGGAGGCAGACTGCGTTGGATAATACAGAATGTTGGATGAGTGGAGGTTGGATGAGCAAGACTCTACTATAAATAAAAATGTAAATGTCTGTTTAAGAATCACCTCAAATCTTCCAAAATACTTCACCGATTGCTTCAAAATTTGGACACAACAAAGCATTCGAACACGCGAGAGTTTTTATATATTCACATACCTACTATTATATAGATGTTACACCTGTGACAGGTAAAAACATGCTTGCCATCAAAAACAGCGCCATCTGCTGGATGGTAGGGAAATCCAGGCTGGAGAGAGGGGCAGGGCATGGGTCCAAGGGAGGGAGGCAGGCAGGCAGGCAAGGAGGTAGGCTCAGCCCAAGTCCCGGGCTCCTGTAACCTCACACCTTGCCTGGCCTTTCCCGGCACTGCCTCACACCCATGCTTCCAGGAAGACTGGAGGCTCAGAAGGAAGGAAGGTTTGAATGGTAAGCTTGGCTCTTTTTAAAGCCATCTGTGCTTGGTCCTTGGCTCTCCTCCTCTGAACCTCCATCCCCAGTTCCCGCCACCCTACCCCTGCCTTCAAGTCCAGCTGGAGCCACCATTTGGGATCCATGGCCTGATCACCCCTACTGACCCTGCCTCCCGCCGGAGCAGAACCAGGTGTGGTTGGGCACAGGCCCAGGGGAGAGAGGGAAGGAGGCAGGCAAGGAGGTATGCCCAGCCCAAGCCCCGGGCTCCCATAGCCTCATGCCCTGCCCAGCCTTGTCCAGTACCGCCTCATGCCCGCACCTCCAGGAAGACTGGAGACTCAGAAGGAAAAAAGGATTGACTGGTAGGAAGGAAGAGATGGATAGGAGAGAAAGAAACACACTGATCATTATTATATAGACCAATATCATATATATAATAGATTATATAAGCTAGTATTATTATTTACACCATTATTATTATTATTATTATTATTATTATTATTTCACAGACAATGGAACAACAAAAAATATTGTATACCCACAAGCATTATGAAATTACATATATTAGAAAGCACCACTTTCTTCTTTTTCCATTTAACCAGACTGAGCCACAGCAATGTGCCGCCGCGTACAGCTAGTTAGAATATAAAGAAAAAGACAAAAGAAATTTTAGTGCAGCTACCCAGATGTTTTTAGCTTACAACTTATCCAGCATAGCTCATGGAAGTTACCATGAAACAACATCTGGTGGGTCAAACAATTCCATCTCCTGTGCTAGAAGCATATCTTTACCAGATGATACATAATGATAGTATTGTTTAAAGACTGCCCCGTCATTAGATAAGACAATGTATAGAACTACATGACTTGCATTGTTGATTTTCCCACATCAAATCATTTGCACAGTAATTAAGGAGCCTAGTTTTTGTTTGTTTGTTGTTGTTGTTGTTCATTCGTTCAGTCATCTCCGACTCTTCGTGACCTCATGGACCAGCCCACGC